ATCTTGGACAAACACCACCATTTTAAGTTCCAGCTCCCTCCTAACCTCATGCATTTCAAGGAAATCACTTCTAACAAGCAGCCAGAAAGAGCAGACAGTAAAATGTAGATAAGACAGCTCAGGCATAGAGAAAGTGGAGAAAGTCTCTTGAGTAACCACCAAACCACACTCGTACAATAGGGCCAAATAAAACAGTGGGCCCTAATAAATACATTCCTTTCCCTTTAGGTACACTAAGGTAGGGTAAAAGCAGCCTCCAGGGGTATGCCTGCAGCTACAGGAAGATGTAGGGAAACAGACACAAAACTCTCCCTCCCAGATAAGCAAGACAAAGAGACACAAAAACATGGAGAGTCTGTGATAAGCTCTCCCCCTCTGAACCCTTAAATACTCTTAGTCTGTGAGAGCGAGGGCTCTTGACCTAATTTGGCCAGAAGCCCCCCTCAGGTGTATTATTATTATTATTATTATTATTTGAGACAAATTTTTGCTCGTCACCCAGGCTGGAGTGCAATGGCGCAATCTCGGCTCACCGCAACCTCCGCCTCCTGGGTTCAGGCAATTCTCCTGTCTCAGCCTCCTGAGTAGCTGGGATTACAGACACGTACCACCATGCCCAGCTAATTTTTTGTATTTTTAGTAGAGACGGGGTTTCACCATGTTGACCAGGATGGTCTCGATATCTTGACCTCGTGATCCACCCGCCTCGGCCTCCCAAAGTGCTAGGATTACAGGCTTGAGCCACTGTGCCCGGCCCAGGTTTATTATTTAAAATAGACCTGTTTCTGACAGTTGGGTCATTTTTCATGTTTCTTTCTGTCTTCTTCAACTCTTAGAACTTTAGAAAAGAGAATTGCTCACTGTGCTTTTGTTCAGGAAAAGTTGGATCAGAGAATCTCAGCTTTTCCTAGGATTATGGAAACAACTCTAAGCCCTGATGCTTTCCTAGGCCCTGCAGTACAGATAATACCAGTTGACTCTCATGGTTCAGAAGCCTGTAAAATAAATGTTGAACATTCCCTGGGTTCTCATCGATTTCCTGTGATGCCTTATGTGGGTTCTAGCATATAACCACTGTTTTCTGCCACTCTATTTCATGTGCTTTCCCTGTCCAAAGGAATGAGAAATATGATGGTGATGACTATGATGACATAGCCGCCTAAGTTATTCAGTGGTATTTTAAAGCCATATTGGAAATCAAATCTAATTGTCACATCATTAAAACAATCAACAGTAAAATTATGAAACCTAAGGAAGTAACCTCTCTTCCCTACTCCTATTCCAAAACTGCATCCTAATTAAGCAGCAAATAGTGACATTAATGATTGCTTATGAATATAGTCAGAGACATAACTGTAATAACGCACAATTATTCTAAGAATATACTTCCTGGAATTATTATGTAAACACAATTTAGATGAAGAGCTGGTAGCATGGTGATGCAAGTGGACTATCATTAGTTGGCTCTTGCAGCAAGTAAACAAATGTTAAGCAAGTGAATAATCAAATAAGCATAATGAGCCATATGCATATATTGTTTCAGGTTTAAATAATATTATTAGCAATACAAATGGTAATAGCATTCAGTCAGCTCTAAATTGTTGTTTATAAATATTCAACTACTAAAAAGCATCCATGAGATACACAGTGAAATTCTTTTCATTTATCAAGGAAGTTACTTAAATTATTCATATCTATTTTTATAAAAACTTGACATTAAAAATCAGATTTGACACATTGTTATTAAATAATGAAAGTAGTATTTTTCAGTGATATTTTTCAACTTACATATGAATAAATTATTTAAATATTTAAACAGAGTGTTTTATAAATAAAAACTTTGTCATTTGGTATGTGTTATGGCCCTGTAAATTATTCTGTATTTTATTAAACATTCAATAAAGGTTAATCTTCAGGTTACAGTAAAAAGCAAAGTTTTAAATTCAGAAACAGCTTGATATCTTTTAACATCTGCTCTCGTCATAAACGTTTTTCTGTGTGGGGAAAAAAAGTGTTCAAAATGCACCCAATGGCAATATCTGTTTTCTATGTTTAATTTTAACTTAGTGACAATAGCAATTTTTTTGGTACATTCTTCATTTTACCTTGCTCCTTTAGTATGAGTATAGAATTTCTTTAATTCACAGATGGAGATGTTCCCTAGAGAAAAATGTCACTTTATGGACTGTTCCCTGGCTTTCCAGAGAGCATTTATCATCATGGCTGTTTATGAGTTTAAGAAAAAAAAGCAAATCTTTGACAGCATAACTTTTCTCCACATGACCATTCCCTCATTTAACACTCCCTTTTACTACAGCTCTAACCATCCAGAAGAGACTGCATGAAGCTCTTGGACAACAAAGTATATATTCAATATTCTCTCCATAAACTTCTCGTACTTCTTTCAACAGCCTAATGATACCTCAATCACATGCAAACACATAATCACCATTATCATCACATATCTCTATTAATCTCTCCACCATACTCGTTTCAGCTT